GTACTGTACAAATTCAACACGATTGCCATCATCAGTCCCAAGGTCGTAATTACGGTGGGGTCGCATGATTACAAGAGAAAAGTTAAACAAGTACGATAATTTCAAATGAATGAAGAGTTGAATTTCATCGATCACAGCACGAGTAGAAGAGGCATTTTCGCTGGAGATATATGCATAGAAACGAAATAAAATCAAACGTTTCGTTTATGATCTTAGTCATTATGTCTCACTTAAGTATCGTAAACGTCAATGTCAACTATTATATATTTTTTTCTTCATCGTAACAAGTATTAATTTTGTATTGAAAAATAAAATAATTGATTGACAACGTGCAAGATAATAACTTTTGAGGAAAATAAATATAATTAAATTTTAAGTGACCTATTTTAACTAATCATTTTCCTCTTTTACCCGAGATAAACGTATTCTCGTTGAATGAAACACAGCTCACAAAATATCCTTCCCATATGTATCTCCACCAATTTCGTTCAAAATGCTTTTCAATTGATCATGCTCTTTTCAATAAAATGATCTTAAATTGGCAGACACTGCGAAACAGAACATTCGTTTGGAAGCATAAACAGAATTCAACGATACAAATACATTTGTGATGTTGAATATCCAGTGAGCGTACTGTTTCGCTTTCTTCGTTATAAAATAGAAGACAATTTATCGGCAGAGAGCTTAATAATCAGTCAATAGCTCGAAGTAAAGAAGGTCGCGCAGAACTTAACATTGTATTTCCTTCACCATGATTATTTTATGATTACCGAAATGTCAGTCATGATGTAGAAACTCGTCTCCCTTTTTCGTAATTGTACATTATGTATACGATATATGCTTTTCAGCAATATAAAGAAATGTATAATAAATTAAATTGAACGAAAATATATACCACAAACATTGAATGCCTTGGTCATTGTTCGAAATCCGACAGTGTATATGCCTTTATAATAATTCCATTACAAATAATTCGTTTTCTTACAGTCATAAGTTTATTGTTGATGATAGTTAAAATTTATACTTATATAAGTCCACTATATATTACTAAGTTTGAATTATTTTCTTCAGATTGTTTATTATAGTTGAATAAAGTATGCACTGTCTTATTCCGAATAATATTAGTTGTTTTACCAAGAATCTGGCGACCAACTCTTAATTATACTAACGATATATGTATTTCTGCATTTATTGAATTTGTACAAAGATTCAGTTCCTTAAACACACGTTCCGGCGTATGTGTTATGAGTATTTCTTTAATCAAGTATCAAGACAATAATAGTAATGATTATTACATTTTCCTGAACATTAATTAAGCACAAGGAGAGATCACAGAGAAAAAACCTGCTATCGGTAAATTTAGAGTAATCAATTTAATGCAAACAAATATTTTAATGAAAATTTTAATATTCATTATAGTATAACAATGGGCCTGCCCTTTCTTAAAGTACATTACGAGTAGGTCCCATGACTCTTGGGATACTTGATAAATTAAGTGACAAGTATAAAGGATAATATAACGATGACCGTGTAAAATAATAAAGTACTACGAAATTTTAATTTAAGATGTCATTACTAAATGAAAAACAGAATTTAACAAATTTATAAATACACAAATAGGCAGCCACCGTCGAGAGTGTTACAATTAGAAGCATACCCAACTGCTGCAAATATTGGAATTTGGTGGAATGTAGCAAGTTCTTTCTTTTCCAATTATTCGAATTTTATTTTTCTCCTTTGCTATATGAAAGTAGTCATAATCACGTAAACGTAAATGATAATCTCAAAATTATCAACAGCTAAAAAAGGTAAAAAATATTTCTAAATTATAATTTATAAGATACATAATAATTTTGCATCCTATAATAATATATATGTGTATATATATTACATTAAATATTAAATAAATTTATACTGTGCGTTTTCAGTAATAATGCACTCGTTGCAAGAAAGTAAAATAATGTATATAATGTGAAAGAACCTGACCATTGTCGGTCCTTGCCTCTTGTCACACTCTCGACTTATAATTACACCAGGATGATAGAAGTTTGGAGTTGAAGAATTTAAAGATAAAACGATAAAAAACATGATCACTTTTTGATTTGCAGCCATGGATGCTTCAGGCACTCTGCTGCTGTAGCTCGCATACTCGGGTCAAACTCGAGCATCGGAGTTAGGAACTCTTCAAACTCGCGCGCTTCTCTTGGTGACCAATCGTATTTTTCCGTAAGCACCTCGTACAGTCCCCAAGGTTTTAATCCAGTAATCCGTTTCAACTCGCCTTTCTTATTGAAGTACATTTTTGAGTTTTTGCCAGACAGAGCAATGTGCTTTGGTATTTCTCCAAGCAATTCAATAATGTGAGCTAAATGATCTTCATCTCTATAATGAAAAAACAAAGTATATTTTATAATATTACTTGTCATAGATACGAACAAAATTTTCTAGATTATTACAAAACACATGTACTTTACCTGCAATAGTAATTTCCGCTATGTGGTTCAAAGAGATAGTCACCAGTCGCTAATTCAAATGCCATACAGGCAGTGGACCATATATCTGCAGATGTATCATACCCAGATCCTAGTAACACTTCTAATGATCTGTATTGACGAGTTTGAATATCATCTGTGAATTTTTTGTGGACCCAACATGCATTACCAAGGTCTGCTATCTTTACTTCAACATCACATTCTACTAGCGCAGGATCTAAGGGAGCTACGGATGCTCGTTTCAATTGTTTACTTTCAGGTGGTTCTAAATTACGACCTGTTGAATATAATAAACATAGAATCATCGTTATTAATTACAAATACAAAAGTTATTCTTTATAAATTCTACCTTCACTACATTCATCTGTATATTCATGATCAGATGATAGTAATCCTTCACAAGTCTTTTCTACATCACATATGTTCGTATTTTCCATCTTTTCAGATTGTTGAGGTAATTGATTTTCTACTTTTTCCCCACCTGCTAAACTATCTACACCATTTATGTGCAGTGAAGGTGCAGATGGTTCTGAAATGTCAGGTGAATCTTTGCTTTCTGTATTATCTTCTATACTTTCTGTATTTATATCTTGATCTGGACTATTTGTTTCTAATTCTCCATTTGCTCTCGTACTATTTGCAAGTTTATCTTGCTCTTCAAGCTCTTCAATTTGCTCCATTTGTTTCTTTAATAGTTCATTTTGACGTTTAGCTTTCTTCTTAAGTTTCTTTTTTTTATTTTTTGACATTTTAGAATTAGGAGTTGGTTCTTGAAATTCCTTTGGGGCCGTTGAAATTAAAGATACCGGTAATTTCATTCCAAGAGAATGTAACTCTGTAGCTTCACAAGCCAATTTTCTTATATAAGCTTCATCAACACAAACAAGTACATTTTCAGGTTTTATGTCTGTATGAATTATTTTACCTGAAAAAAAGATATTTTGTGATAATCAATTAATTTAATACACTTTCCAAATTTTAAGCACAACTCTTTGAATATAATTTTCATACACAACTTAACACCATCTATTAAAATAATATCAAATATCAAACAAATTTTTCATTACAAAAAAGTCTTACATTTATTGTGAAGATAATCAAGACCTTCAAGAACTTGTCTGATGATACGTTTAACATTATTTCTTGGAATTCCTCTATAGTTGGATTTGATAATCAATTTAAGAAGGTTATCTCCAAGCACTTCAAATACCATGCAAACATGCAAACCATTAATGCCACTGATCTTGAAGTCATTGAGTAACTGGACGGTTTTATTGCGTTTAGGATCACTAGGATCTGTATCACGCACATCTTTTAATAATTTAATTTCATCCAATGCGGTTTCAGTAAAATGCGATGCAGATTTGACCACTTTAAGTGCCACAAATCGTTTATCCTGCAGAACATATTTTAAAACATTCCACTTATAAACTTATGAAATAAAGAAATACCTTTTGTTATTAGATATGTACCTGTAAGTCCCAGCAGAGCCAGACTGTTGAGAAATGACCCCAACCAAGTTTACGAGTTACATGATAACGGTTTAAGAATAAATCTCCTATTTTGACAGGATGATATCCTCCTTTACAATAGTCACTGCTGTCCTCTTGTTCTTCAGCCTCGCTACTGTATACTTCATCACCATCCTCCATTGTTTCATTACTTGAGCTATGACATGGTTCCAGTCTGTAAGTCCCAGTTAAAAAAACTAAAGGTAGGGGGACCAATACAAATTAGAAAATAAAGAACTAAAAGTTGCTTTTCAAATTTTCACATGGTCTATGAAGACAGACAAGGGTTGGTTTTTACTTAAATCATGCCACAACAAAATGACACTATATAAAAATACATTCGTTCAAATATTTCTCATTGTCTACCGAAGTATTCAGTGATAAGGTTTACCATCTTTATAATGTAAAAAGAACTCGATAAAAAGTTCGATATCGATGGGTATCTAATCGAAGAAATTTGCCTGAATTACGAACTGTCAACAGGAAAACTATCAACGTAATAGAATTAAATGACATATTAAAAATAGTCAGATACCTGTTTCCATTGTCGCTGGAATATGGTCTCTGTGCAGAGGAATCCTGATAGGAACCCGATCCTTGTCCTTGTTGAGTAGCCGGTGTCTTCGAACACTGAGCTCCCGATGTCTCTGATTCATCCTGAGAATTTCCCTTTCCTTTTCGCTTACTCGGCTTGTGTCTTTTTTTTTTGGCCTGAATTGCTAGGACTCGCCTGTTCACGTCCGTCTTTGCGCTCATACCGTTCCCTGCGCCTCGATTCGTCGGGCCGCTTTCCTCTTTTTCTTTGCACTTCCCACACTTCCGTTTTCACTTCCTTCCGTAATTCTTTCCTGTACGTTCTAATGGAGGAACTTACACCCGTTACCGTCTCCTCGAGTTTACGAACGATAGAATGCGGTTTATTATCGTCTCATTTCTGCGCTGTGCCGCGCACTTCGCTCGGCGGTTGTTTGAGTATGGCCGCCCCCGCCGTCACCGTGTCCTCGTCTCTCGTTTCGAACGAAGCAGGTGTCGTTCTACCGGTCGTCGACGTCGACGTATTTACCGATGCACTTCAACCTCTTGTTCAAATCGTTTGTTACATTGACAATACACTCGCAAATACAAAGTCCTTCCTTTCCGGTTTGCTCACGATTTCCTACTTCTGCCTTCGTTGATACTTGGTATTCGATAGTTCAGTATCCTTTTCTATGCCGTGGTAGCAGACGAGGTTCAAATTCGACTAGTCTTTAAACAATAATTTTACAATTTCTGATACTTCTTCTAACTTAAAGTCTATATTATGTTCCTTGATGAAATCCGTAGAGTATTTTGTACTTAGCTTAAGGTTTCCTTCGATGGAACTTAAAATATGTCTCGATGAATAATCTATTAATTTCGTTCCAACCAATCAGAGAAGATATTTAGTACCAAACTAATATAATTATATAACATATCAAGTGAACATAATATATAGAAGTAATTCACTGGAAGCATTACATATAATATACACAAGTTAATCGTTTGTTTCGTACTTTAACTTTTTTTCATCATGTTTTTATTATATTTTGAATAAAAATATCTTTCTGTATTTTTGCAATTATTTTAAATATTGATAGTCTTAGAAGTTTTTCAAAATTGTTTATTATATTAAAAGCAAGTTTGGTTTCATTTTTATGTAAAAGATAAGATAATTAATTGATAACACATTTGGACAACAAATTTTAAACAAAAGCATTTGGTTACAATCATGCAACAACTATAGAATCTGTTACAAGATGGCAATACTATCCACGTGAATCATAATATCCAAAAGTACCGCCAACTGCATATGACACATTTCTGGTTATAACCAAAAAATATTTTTGTGGGTGACGTTTGATCGCAGAATCTTTTGAGATTGTTCTACGTATGATTTGGTCATTACTAACCAAATTAATGTGTCCAAAAGGTGTTAATAAGATGGACATCATATTTCATGAAAAGGTAAACAATAATATATGCAAGGGAGTACCTAATAGTTTTTTGAGTGTAAATCATTTTAACGGGAAAGTTTATTACAGCAAGAAGGATTCTTATGCGCACAACATTGTTTAAATGCACTTTTACAAGGACCATATTTCAATGCTGTAGACCTTGCTATTTTTGGTCAGCAAATGGATGAAGAGGAGAGGCTAAGAATGGCAGAGTCTGGTGTAGACAGTGAAGATTATAAACTTTTTTTAGAGGTGAATCTTTACATTGTAGTTATTGTATATAGTTTAGTGTAACATAATACATAAAATGAAAAGAAATTATAGTTTTCTAAAAATTCTATTATATATGTATATACATATATACATATGTATACATATATCTCTCTCTCTCTCTCTCTCTCTCTCTCTACACACACACACACACACACACACACACACACACATTTCATTTGAAATATTAATATTTACTAATAATGTTATCTGTGGTAAAGGGCATTAATTGTTTTGCTTAGCAACCATCAGGAAATATGGATGACAGCGGATATTTTTCAGTCCAAGTTATAAGCAGTGCATTAAAAGTTTGGGGATTAGAATTAATTCCATATAATAGTACAGAATCAGCAGCTATAATGGCACAAAATGACCCTTTGTATGTTATTTAACTTTTTTTATTATTTTAAAACATTTTAAAAATATTTACGAAGTGTGGTTACTTTATATTATCATAAATTAAGAAATTAATATATTGTATAATAATAAAAAAAATGTCAAGTACTTAGCATGACTATTTGTATAATGAAATTTAATTATATCTCATAATATACATAACTTTAAAAAAGATATAATTTTCAGACAGATGAAAGCATACATTTGTAATTACAAAGGTCATTGGTTTACTATAAGAAAGATTGGACGGCAATGGTTTAATTTAAATTCAGTGCTAAATGGGCCAGAACTTATATCGGATACTTATCTTTCAATGTATTTAGCCCAATTGTTACAAGAAGGTAAATATCTCAGTGAAATTTAGTAAGAAGGAACAAAATTATCGGTATAAAATGTCTTCACAGGTTATTCTATTTTTATTGTTATTGGCACGCTTCCTCAATGTCCTGCAGATGATATTCTTATGAGAAACCCAACAGAATCTGTATCAAAAGGACAAACATCATCAAAAACAGAAGTAAAAGGTTATTGTCTGGGTACTAAGAAAGAAGATGAACTCCTAAATGCTACTCTCATTCTAGGAGAAGTTGTAGTACTTCGTATATTCATGACAGCACATTTTCTACTAATTTATTGAAAATGTTTGCTTTTACAGGTTCAAGTAGTAGTATATCAAATACATTTGCCAAAGCATTATCGAGTAAAGAAAAAATACCAACAAGTAAGCCACAAGAAAAGATAATTCCTATAAAAATTGAAAAAAGTGATGAAGATGACGATGACAATGCAGAATTGCAAAGGGCACTTCAATTAAGTTTTGAAGATAACAAGAGAAATGATGTGGACAAATATCTCAAATTGAGTTTGGATTTTCATGATTATAATAAAAAAACATGTGGAACAGATGACACAGATGAAGATGATGATTTAAGAAGAGCTCTTCAATTAAGTTTAGAGTGCGCTACTGCTCCACCAACACCAGAATCTGAAGACTTACACTGGCGTCAATTAAATCACTTTGGTACATACTCAAGGACATCAAATGGTGAAACTTCACAGAAACTGAATATTTAATAACACGTGGAAGAATATTTTTAATATTATTAAAATAAATTTTATTTGTAAATTATAAATAACTAGTTACTTTGTGTAGTATAAATAAGTATTTCAAAAACAAATGTATAAATAAAAGATCTGTATATGTTACAAGTTTTAATTAATTGCATTACCAGTTTATCTTGACTTAAAACATTTTATTAATACTTGATTTATTTTGTTATTAAAAGAATAGATTTTTGTCTAATATAAAACACTTTTGTTTTTAATTATTTTAATAGAATAAAGTTAACAATTTTTTGAACGCACTTTGTCATTATTGGTTCAAATTTTTCTTATGCATAACTCAAAAACGTTATGTTAAGAACACACCTCTTTTATTTTCATGTGTATCCTATTTCTGTAATTAAACAATTATTTATTTTTTATTAGCTTTATTATTTTTTAAATATAAATTTATATTTTTCTACGTGTATTAGGACAAACGAATAATTGTTTTCACAGCAATATTACCAGATGGCTATGAACTGAGATTTTTAACTGTAGTCACTCTGTAGTTGCTCCTGTTTTGTATGTGAATACTGAATGTTGACATTCAACATGGCGGCATGTCGTCAGTGCTGTGCTGTGTCGTGGTGAGTTTTATAAATCCTTCTAAAGCTATTCGATTGCGAGCTTTGCAATGAAACATTTACGATTAGCAGAATTATTCGTTTTCCAACAATGGTATTCATATTTTATAAGTATGTGGAACTTCGATAAATCTTTATGATACCCAAAGAAACGAGTGACCTCATAAAAAATTAGAATCTCGAAACTGGCGAGCATATACAATATTTCGGATTTTTGTTTTGGACTCGTCCTTTATGTGTAATTGTCATTGTTTCGAATTTGAAATTGATTGTATAAAATTCCGTCAAACAAACTGTGTGATTATTTACTTTTAAATAAACTTGTAATGCTTACATCGTTACATATATTTCAAAGATTTTCATGTGGGTGTTCAAGTATTGTATCCCATTTACAGCAAAGTTAGAAAATTATGATTTAAATGATAAATTTACGGTAACGATACCTTGACTACTTATCTAATATCGATGAACGAGATTTTTAATCCAAGTAAAATTTGAAAAAATAAGTAAAAACATTGAAAAAACAGTACCAGTTGGAATATAAAAAGTCAATGTCAAACTGGCAGTCAATTATTGTGAATATCTTATTTATCTCATATGTAACTACAAATAGAACACAATAAATATATTATGGATTGTCATATATACTTGAATATTCTTATAATGTGGAATGAAAAATATTTAATAACCTATATGTACGAATGAGATATTACCTATGGTAAAACTTTATTTTTTTATTAA